TGTCTGCTTATGTTTTATATGTCTTGTCAAGAAATCACTCTCCCTTGCTTTTGATACAAGATATAAAGATATGTCTTTTACAAAGCAGGGAACCTGTGCTGTATTTCAGACTATTCCACATCAAAGTTAGTTAAAGGCAGCAGTTAGTTAAGGGCAAGAGAGGCCAAATTGGACACAACATCTTTACTCTGTGTAGTTTTGCCAACTGCGCTTTCGAACAAAGCATAACAATTGCTGGCCTTTACTTTTGCAGATTCTTCATCTCTCCATGTTTCTGTTGCTCCACAGTTTCAGTTGCCCCAGTGCCAACTGTTGTCATCCTGTCTGTATAGGTATCATTCCCCAGCTGCCTTAGGAGTTGCAGGGCTGTCTTATGCCTTGATATATCACACGTCACTGTTATTTTCCCTCTGGGAATACTTGGTCACATTGTTTTGTCCTTCTATACTGTTGACAAGTACTATTAACTTAGTCCTCACAATAGCACGATTTGTTGGAAACATTACAATTGGAAATTTGCAGATTCTACAGCTTAAAAATAAGTGAGGTTAGGCTTGCTGAAAATTCCTGCATAACTCATAATTCTGTACAACTTAGAGTAAATCTTGGACAAGTAAATTAATTATTTCTAATTTTTTCACACTAGAATAAACTGATGTTCATTGCTTAAAAACAATGGAATAGAACCACATGGCACTTTCCACTTCGCTAGAGTGACAGCTAACTCCTGGGTACTCCATTACCCAGTGGAAATCTCAAACTGGGTACCTGGAAATATTCCATAAGATGGAATATTTTCATGGCCAAATGAATAATTGAAAATCACCTGTTCCAATAATTAACACACTTTTTTTCTATCTGGCTTTAAGTCCACTTTACACCCAGATTGCTCCTGGAGCTGGCCCCAGAAACTAAACTTCTTGTTTGCAGAATAAGTAAAAAAAAAATCTAGAGAATCATGTAGGATCACTGCCTTTTTAATTAAAGGAGCTAAATACTATCTTAGAAAACCTATGCTTGGCATGTCCTTATAAAAGAATTCATGTGAGCAAATCCATAGACAGTTAAACCCACTTAGTATGTTTGATTACAAATAATTTCTTTCTTAAACAGTTTATGGGTAGATTCCATTTAAGATATCAGAATCTGAGCTACTAAGGAATTGTGGCATATTACTGGAAGTGTGGATATCCACAGTAAATTAGGTGATGAGCACAATGAAGTAATAAAGTTGTAGGGAAATTTGACTTCACTCAGTGAAAGGTTTAGATAGTGAACACCAACAAATGATGGGAGCACTCACATGAACAATAGGTTAAAACTAATGATTGTGATTGATTATGTATCTAGTAAATACTATCCATCTTGTATGCTGAATGAAGTAATAATGTGGTTCGTAAGGACCCTCTCATAATGTGTATGCATAAAGATTTTGAATTAAAATTGGTTAAGTAACTTTATATCTGGTACCTTCTGAATTCTACTTGTTTAACTTAGAAACCTTACTGAACTTACTAAATTAAGTGAATTTAATCAGTTGTATCATTTGGATTAGGAAAATAAAATGGCAGAATACAGACAAGGCTTGCATTTATTTTAAGTCAAGGGATCCAAATCTTATTGTCCTTGGAATTCTATGCAAAATTGAAAGTTATGTTCTTATCCTGGTTGAAAAAATACCTGTCTTCAAAATAAGGACAAAATGTGAGAAATGTTATAGAATTTTAAAGTTTAAGAGAACACTGGAAAGGATTATTAAACAAAGAAAATGACATTCTAGAATTAATGAAGTATAGAAAGAACAGTTAAAACTTGCAAGATAGAAGAAGCAGAATCAAGTTACACATCACAAAGGAATTCATAATCAAAAGACAGGAAGATTCTTTAGTTTTATCAATAAAATGAGGGAGGTTATTCTCATTTGGAAGTCGTCAGAATAGATAAGTTTGTTCTACCACTATATTAATTTCTTGCTTCAATTTTGCGGCACTTGTGCTACATTTTTGTAGAACTAATGCACACTTGTTCTTGTTTGTTGGTTTTTTTTTTTAGTTAAGTTAAATGTAGTAGTACATCTTAAGTAAACACATCTTAAGTAAACTGATACTGCATTCTGTGAGGAATTCCTGGTTAGCATAGGCAGAACAACTGGTTCAAGCAGAGACTACATTGAGTGATTATTAAAAGTGCATTAGAATGTCAGGAAGATGCTAGTGGTACTCCTGCAGGTGTGGACTAAATGCATTCAGATATAAATATCTTGAACAACCAGCCTGAATAATTGCAGTGAAATAACACTGAATAGAAAGAATTACAAATTCATGCCTTTGGGGTTTAATAACTGATTCCAAATATCATCAGTAGAGGACGAGAAAGATTTTTGCATTTGTTAATCGTAAATGTTTATAATCCACAAGTGGGATTACAATAATTGAAAAGGCAAATTCAATCACTGTATCTACTATGCAGAGCATCCTTCTCATACCGAATATATATTTGTGATTATCTTTGAATTCACCGATAGAAAATGGGAAGCCTTCAGGAGATCTGATATATAGTTCTTAAAATGAGATTATTCTCTTTTGGGAGCCCATGTTATGCAGCTTTAACTGCTGTTGAATTAAAATTTTACAATTCTGTTTAATTTTTTAAAGACAAGCCTGATGTCTTTTGTCTAACAATCCTCATAAATAAACCACTGTACACATAACATCTGTAAAATACCTGTGCAAAGTAGATGCTTAGTATTATCCAGCAAACCTCATCCATAGGTGAGCAGCTATCTGATTGCTGTTGAATGCAACAAGAGTAAGTTTTGTATTCTCATTATGTGTGCAAGTAAGAAACAAGTAAAAGCTTGTAACATAGGAAGAGTGCTATAGTGAGCTATAAAGGACTGAGAAGTTGATGGTGCAACTTCAAGAATGAGAATGCTTCTTAAACCCTGAGGGAGTAAAATCCTTTAGATGCTAGAAGAAGCAGTAGTTGACAGTTCACCTACAAGGTATCTGAGCCTTTTCTTATCACAGATGAAGAGCATAACCCAAAAGAGTTATTTATGGTGATGACACAATCAATCCTGTCTTGATAACAGGCAGTCTTACCTTGTGTAAAGAGTGGCAGGTTTGGATCAAATAAACTCTTGAGGTTCTTTTCAGATGAAATCTTTTTAAGGGTCCATAGCTGTAAAATCAGATATTGTGTATCTACAATGCATCTGTGCAAGCTCTAACTAGTTTCTTAATGATTTTTTTTAATTTACTACAACTTTTAAAAATATGTATTTGCAATGACATTTCCTTATTCGTTATTTTCATTCAGTTGTAGAACAAATATGTATAAACTACCACCAGTGTTATTAAGATCTTTGGAATCTACCCTCTGTACAAAGAGGAAAAACCATGTAGATAGATAGAAAGGATATAAATTGCGTTGCTATTTTTATATTTTGCAGTAAAGCAACTTTGGCTAAAATGCTGATCTTGTTACAGAATATATATTTGACCAAGCAACTGCGAAGAGTCATATCAATAATTTGAGACAGGTACATGCAAATTTCAAATCCAGCTCAGCAGTAATCAATAGAAGTATGTCCACAAGTTTCTTACAGAATTATAGAATGAGATGAATGTGTCAGATCTTAAAAAGGAGAGGCGTAGAATTTTTTCTGTAATGGTTCTATGCTACATTTTTTCCTAAGCATTGGGGTAAACCTAGTAACAGATGTTTTCTACCTGTTCCGGTTGATGCTAGATAGAAATAAAAAACTGCTTAGGATAAGCAGTTCTACAGTAGCTTCGTGCTAGTTTCTTTTAATAAATTGCATAACACAAGAAAATTTTATGGGCTAAGAGAAAAAATATCTGCTTTGAGGATGATGAGAATTTTGTGACCTGTGACATGCAGCCAATGAAAGAAGTTCTGCATCATTCAAAGCCCTGATTGTGTTGCAGAAGATGCCTTTGTTTGTGTGATTGTGAGTCACAGGTGGAAGATGATCTACAGATTTTCAGAAAATTTTCCTCGTAAGTGGGATATCTTCCAGAAACTAGTGTGGCATAAGATACAGCATTGGATTTTTGTCTCTCCTTACTGGAAGCACTTTCTCAGATTTTTGTCTCAGGCCTCACAAAGTCATCTTTTTTTTTTTTTTTTTTTTCCAGTTTTCCTACAAGATCTACGTGCATATCATTCTATGATGTATTTACAACAGTTAAGCTGTTGTCTCCTTTTCTTTTGCTCATCTGCTGCTGTGACTTGTATCCTTGCCTTTCATAGGTTAGTTGTATACTGCTAATTACATTTACCTCTGTCAGCCTCTGTTAAAAGTTCATCAGTGCTTGCAGGCTTCTCCATGAGATCTTACCATGACAAAAGTAGAGTCTTGTCCTCTTTCATGCTTATAATATCTGGTTCTGTTAGAGAGAGTGTGTGATGTTGTAGAAGGATATAGACCACAGTCCAATTCACGTTCCCATAAAAAGGGAAAATGAAGTCTGATGTATTCATCAGACAAGCCAGCTTGATGAACTCTTGTAACTCACTGAAGGAGTATGTTGTCTGGATAAAATCAGCAGACCACCAATGATACTTAATCTAAATTCACAGCTCGAATGTGGCACTGCATGATTAGCAGAGCATTGTAAAAAGAACTCTCTCTACCCTTTCCATTTCTATAATTTGCTGCCAGATTTCCAGCCATTCTTCTCTACTGAATGCTCACTCTTTAGTTTCCCCATACAGGTGGCTACCATTTGTAAGGCTATCAATTTCTCTACCCGTTTTAAGCAGCTATTATTTATGCCAGTTCCTGCTTATCATTCTCTTTATTCGTTTAGACAAGAACAGCTACAAAACATTTTAAATAGCTTGAGATAAAGGTTAAGCTTAAAGATCACATGTTATCATGCACAGCTTCAAAATAATGGGTTAAACCTGCTTCAACACAATGTTCTGAAATCGTGTCTCTAATGTGCATTTAATTTGTGCCACTCTTTCAGATGTAAGAAACGTGAAAACATGAACCAAGCTAAAAAGCTATGGCCCATAAAGAAAATCATCTGCGGTAGCGTAAGAGGTACGTGCTGCACTTTTTTCACCATTCTTCATATGCAAGATTGTACAGCATTGAAAAACACACTTTTGAAAAAGACTTTCATGTCTTTAACTATTAACAATAGAATGTAACGATGACATAAGTCTCACTGCAGAAATGTTATTGTTGGAAGTCCTGCATTTATCCTCCAGATAATTTTTAGAAGTTTTTGCATTAGAATTAATGGTAGGCTCACAGCCCTTGTTACAAACAATAAATTATCACTACATGTCTTGCCATTGAAATAGATTACTTAGCCATTCACCATTTGCCATGGGATGCTCTCCAGATGTGTTGCATCTGAATTTGTCTGAATTTTCACTTGAGTGCTATGAAGTTAATCTGTTGTTTAGCACACCAAAAGAATTGTTAAATATCTGCTAAACATTATACCAGTTTGCAGTGTCTTGGCGTAAGGGCTTTATTCTTCTCTTTCTTCCCTCTCTCCATTCCAGTGATCCTTAACAATACCCTACTGTTGCAATGCTATTCTTTTTCTTCCTTCAAACTATAATTTTATGTTAATCCTTGAGCTGTTGAAGAGGGCCTTAGCTTTCAGCTAATTTTTCTCACTTGTTGTCCTAGGGAAACTTTACTTACAACCTGGAACAACCTGAACTTTGCACAAATATTGGCTCTTTCTTCCATACTTAAAGCAGTTTTAAAATTTGGTGGAGATTATACAGTAAGAATGCATGGTCCATCAGTCTACTCTATATCTCACGATTCAATTGCTGAGAGGACTGAACTTTCATCTCTATGTTGGAATATGGCCCGAATTCTAGATTTCAAAGCAACTAAAAGGAAGACAATCATTAAGACAATGTTGCCTCAAATCCCAGTTCAAATAATCTCAAAGTCTATGCAAAACACAAATGTTGACCTCACAGAATGTCCCAACCTCCAGAATAGTTCACAAAGCTCTGAAAACACTCTTAAACTTATTTCAGAAACTTCTTTTTTATTGTTAGTAAAATATCTCTTGGTTGCCATTAGTTTTGCTTAAATCCCATGGAAATATTTGGAGCTTCTTGGTGTATACAGCAATTCAGAAAAATGGCTCATCATCACAGTTCAGCTCAGTCTGCAGATTGCTTGTGTACTTAGTTCCCGCTTATTTTTTTCAGGTTCACTATCAGGCTAGACAGCTCTGTCAACTCAAAAAGACATGCTTTTTTCAAACTATTGATCTCAGTTGCTCTTCCAAATCCTTTAGTATTGGCTCTTAGGATTACTATAATGCTATAATCATTCTGTTAAGGATTCAGATTTGTGGTGGACTAAAAGATGGTAACATCAAAAGGATTGAAATGCCCTTGAAGCAATCAATTTTTGTTCATCAAATACAAATGCTGAGAGGCTGCTTTCAGCTAATAATTTATAACTGAATTAATGACACATGGCTTCCGTCAGTAATGGTCTCCTCTCTGGGATCTTTTTTTTTCCTTTTCCCCTTTCTGTGATCTGATTTCATATTCTGGGAAAGGAAATCAGAGTGCTAAAGAATTTAATCAGAAATGAGGAGTGTCTGAATTTAAAAGCTTAGCTTTCTTTCTCCAAACTGAGTGCTGCTTAAACCTTTATCTTCCAATTTTGGAAACTTGTATTTTTAAGTCAATTCTTGTGGAATTACATTTCCACGTTTTTAAATTGCTGTTATTATTATTCTACTTATGCCACGCACAAAGAATTACTGAGTTGTGGCAAGGACTGCACAAATGTTTTAAGTCCCTTATTTGAGTTTTTACATTATCAAATATCTTGTTTTATTGCAAGATTTTCACATTATTGGAATGATGCCAGATAATGTGCATTAAGCAGTTCATCCGTTCTCACTTCAGTTTTGTCTCCTTTCTGCTCCTATGCTGAATTTCAGAAACAGATTCATAGTAAAACTGCCTTTTTTAAAGTTTAAAAAAGTTTAAAACAAACTTATGGTTGGCCCTCATTTCCAGTCACAGTCCTATTTCTCCTTTTTTTTTTTTTTTTTTTTTTTTTTTTATTACACTTCTAATGACTTGAGCTAAGCCTGTTTGTTCAGAAAGGCTATCCAAAGCTTTTTTCTTTTTTTTCTCTTTTTTTTTTTTTCCCCCTGCATTCTGTGTGGAAAGGGCAATATGCCCTGAGCCCACCATCTGTCAAAACATTGTAAACACAAATAGCATCAAGAAGCCAACGTCAGATAGGTTTATGGAAAAGGGGAAAAAGGGGAAAAAAAAAAAAAAAAAAAAAAAGAAAAAGGATTTTATAGAGGAAAAGACATGCACCTGAATAACTACTAAATTATTGGACACCACTGTAAACTGATCTCAGGCTCCTGGTATTGTCTCTCTTCTGGATTGATTAGGGACAACATAACAACATCAGATGCACGCTGAGGTTGTTTAGCGATGCAGTTCTCTTACAGTATGGTCCTTTTTTATAGCTGTGGAACATGTCACTCAGAGTTTGGGGCTGGTTAAGAAGAGAAAGGATTTTTGTGACAGAAGGGAAAAAAGAATATGGTGTTAGCTTTAGGAATGAAATATTCCGTTCTTCTATTTATTACCTCTTCCTATTTCTTTGTGAAGCACAGATATCCCTAATCACTACGGTAATTCTTTAAGTGTTTCTTTCACTTTTCTTAAATGTATCATATAGAAAAATTTACAATTGTATTCACATCCATTATTATTTGAAAATTAGCAGACAATCTCTCATGTTCTCACAGGTAATTTTCTAGTTATGTTTCCCTTCATACAAATCACTTGATCTTTAATTTATTCGTTTCTCCATTTCCTTTCTCTTTCTCCAGTTTTCCTTCACATTCTCCTCCCTCCCCTTCACATTCCCTGCAGCTTATAATTAGTTTAGAAATAGATCAAGTTACTTATATTTAATAGCTTAAAGTACTTAGGGTAATTATGTTATAGCATTTTATATTCAATTAATATAAATCTTCAGCTGTGACTGATCTTCAGCATAGGTATTCCATTGCAACTCATCTGTTGTGCTTGTGTATTAAAAGTTTATGTGGCATGGATATCATTCAAACAGCACTAAACTTCTTGGCACACCAGCTGGTTTTCAGAATTTTAAAATCTTTAATAGGAAAATAAAGAAAACATGCAGAAACTCGGCTCAAGGCAGTACAAAAAATGTTTAACCAGAAGTGAAATATTTAAATGCAAATGAACAAGGATGCATTGCATAAGTTAGGAAAGTAACATAAAGAGTAACAAACAAAAGTCTCCATATCATATCTGACTTGTAGACAAATGTATTAGAATATTTTAAACCTCAGTTAGAAAACAACAGCAAAAATTCCACAAGGTGTCTAGCACCCTCAAATAAACTGAAGCTAAGCCTTACACAAGATCTCACAAAATATGGCCAATGGATGAAAAAAAAACAAACATAAAATTTACACTGAAACATTAATTTAGAAATGCTAAAACTTAAAAGTGTATAGACTGACCCAGCACAGTACTTGTGCTTGATAACACTTAAAAAAGCAATGTAGTTCAAGATGCTTTAAATAAACTGTGACTTATTCCAAATAAGAGTTACAAAATTACTGAACAACCATAATAAAAATGATCAATAAAAAAAGCTTTTAAACTAATTGAAAACATCATAACATTAAGCTTTATAACAATCAGACTTTTTTTTTTTTTTTTTTTTTTTTTTAAACAGCCTTACATGCAATTTTGGCAGGGAAAATTTTCTGAAATCCCCTCCCACTCTGTGGTTTAATGCAGTCCAAATGTCCTCACTACAGAGAATGGAGCAAAGACATTTCCCTTCATAGAGACAGTTTATAGTTTGAACAGTTCATTTATGATAAATACTTGGAACTTTTCTGATTTCGTCTTCCAAGTAGTCAGGAGTTTTCATCTACTTTTTCTTCATTGGTTTTCCCTTCTGATAGATTTTCAGTTTTGCTTTGAGATGAAAATAAGCCAGCGGTTATACTTCAGATATGTGAAAAAGGCCATGAAGACTAGACTCTCAAAAGGCCTCAAAGATGTCAAGTACTCTTTGGCTCCAGAACAAAAGGGAGAAATGAGTTTCTTCAGTGAGAGGTTTGGTCCACCTGGGATCTTTTTGTTGTGCATTGGTGTCAGTTTATCTCTGGTCTCCTTACTTATGTCTCTAGACTATGGCAGTGCCAAGAATGATGGTGACTGTAGCCAGCTCCAGGTACAGGAAAAATTAGTAGTTACTGCTGCAGTAAGATAAGCTGAGAATAAGAGCCCACTGCCGTCACTTTGCACAAGCTATAGTCCTGGTAAGGCCACTGGGATTTGAACTACGTGAGATAGGCCCATCCAGAAACAGTAAATCTGACTTCCCCTGGGCTATCCTTTTTATCTCTTTTTATTACAGGAGCTCCTATCCTGAGACCTCAGTGCTGCAGAAGGAAATGTTGTCCATACTACTGGAAGCTGGCTCCAATTACCAGCCTTTAATTGAGAAGCATGAAGATGCTGAGATACTATCATCCTACAGACACATGGGTATGAACTTGAAATGCGAAACTTCAATGGGATGGTTCACATGCCTGAAGTTCAGTTTGTGTACAACTTCCTGCCGGAAGACTGGTCATAAAATTTCTGAGTACTTCAACGATTTAGGGGGCAATGGGCAACAGAGGATTAGGACACAGTATGTGTGAACACATAAGAAAATAGAACAAAACAGCTTCATCAATAAGACAATAAAAATGCTTCAATATGTTGTTTATCCCATCATCTCTTGGCTCTGTTAACTGTTACCATCTCAGTGACACTGAAGCCTTTTTTAATGATAAGCTTCAGAAAGTTTATAAAGCAAACATCAGGCTAGTAGAACAGTACACAATGTTTTCCCTGCCTTGACCTGAGTAGTGAGTAGGCATTTAGTACTTAGTTAACTCACACAACTGAGAACTTTTATAAGAAAATGATCTGCCCAGAGAGGTTGTGGATGCCCCATCCTTAGAGGTGTTCAAGGCCAGAATGGATGGGGCCCTGGGTAGCCTGGTCTAGTATTAAATGTGGAGGTTAGTGGCCCTGCCTGTGGCAGGGAGTTTGGAGATTCAGAATCCTTGGGGTCCATTCCAGTCCTGGCCATTCTGTGATCTAAAGCTTTTTAATGAATCCTCTCTGTCAGTAAACAGTCCCAAGTGTTACGGTTGATATCAAGGAGCTCTAAGTAGTTTGAAAAGTGTTAATAAAACACTTAAAAAAAAAAAAAAAAAATCAAAAACAAACAAAAACTTCCTGATGTATCATCTGCTAGAACAGGTATACAGCAGTCTTTACTTGGCCTTTACTTGGCCACATCCTTTGTCTGTAAAGGGACAATAGGAAATGCTGAAAACATGTATTCAGTTCTGTGCAAAGGATGAAGCCCAGGCAGGCAGTAGCACTATGAGGAAAGAACACTTTATTCATGTTAGAGACAGGTAGAAAATTCCATGTTTGTTTAGTTGAACATAGGTGAGAAGGAAGCATTTCTCCTGTCAGTCTACTGTGTGATATGCCAGAGGCTGTAGCTGTGGAAGAGTCTTCATTCAAAAACCTGATGTTTGGAACAAAACAGGAAATGTCTCAAAGACCTTCCAGGTTTCTCATGTGTTAACAAGTGTAATAATTCATAAAACATTGTGTTGTCTCAAATAAATGAATGTAGTTTTATGCGGTCAATAGATAAGAGGTTTATATTTGTTAAGCAAAATAAAACAGCAGCTGTTGCTTTTTTTCCCCATTTTAGTTGTATACAGTCTAAAATAAAATTCCATTATTTTAAGAAGGATGTCCCATCTCTAGATATTTTCATTATGTGTAACGAATGAGCCATAACATTTCATCCAGTAATGTTAGAAAGAACTATGACCCCTAAGCTGGAACTATTTTTGGGTAAGACATATAATTAAGCCTTAAAATAATGTAAAAACCAAACTCAGACAAGAACTTGGTAAAAAAAAAAAAAAGAAGTTATACTCATGAAGTCCATGAAGTTATACTTCAAGGACTTTAAAATTTTGGCAGTCATTAATTTTTCTAGTCGTGTAACACAACAAATTAAGAAAGATATTTTTGTTTTTCATTATATGTTATGATAATATATAATTTTCATTATATGTTATGATAGTATTGTTTTCAAATAAGCACCAGAAGAATAATTTGAATTTAATATATCAATAACATAAAATGTGGGACAAATCAATGAAAAAGAAATGATTGTGTTAATATTAATGTAGAGACTGGTTTCTGAAGAGCTAAGGCAGCTCAATTCACCAGTGGAAGCATTTTATTTCAGTATTTGGTTATGGAATTAGGGGCAGGGTGTGATGTCATTTTCAGTTGTATGAATCCACCAGTTCTACCTGAACAGCTCCATGCGTGCCTTGCATTTTATCACCAGCTAATAGAAGCTGGTATGTTCCACTGCAACACACGCAATTTCTATAAACTAAACTGCATGCTTTTGAAAGCCAACTCAAAGCAGAGCTTAAATCCTCCTGATAGCACTTCAGCAACCACCAGCATAGCTCTGATTTAACAGCTTGCTTGCATTTGCCCTGAGTTATCTTTGTAAGGATCCCAACACACTGAGTTCATTCTTTGTATTTTTCTATTGATTTTTCTACAACCTGTGTAAAGTAGAAGTATCATTTAGGCTCTTTGTTTAACTGCATTTCCTTGTGTTTTCCTCCTTAATCTTTGCAAATGGAGATCTTCCCAGTTATGGCAGTATGTTTGTTATCACTTCTTGTCACGTGATATTTATCTAGCTGTGACTGAGATACCACTGGTGTTTCTGAAACAGTGCTGGGTTCCTCTGTTATCGTTCTGCAGGTGTTGGATTTGCCATCTCATGAACTCTGGAATCCTCAGTAATTGTTGTTAATCTCTAAAACCAGCAACTGGGAATTTCCCCAGAAAGTTACCTATTGATAAACTGTTTGTATTCTTATTACAGGCAGAAAATATACTCAAAAATTTAAGAGGGGAAAACAGCTCACTAAATTATTTTTCTGCTTGGTTGGCTAAATCAGCTTGACAATTCAAGTCCTAAAATGCAAAAGGAAATTATCAGGAATTATAACAACATGGGACTTAAGCATTCTGTCAGTTACCAGGTTTGTGTCAGTAAGTACAACTGATCTGTCCAAGAGTCTATTTTCAAATTATTATAGAAAATATAGATCATACTATTTAAATCTGCTAAGTAGAGTTTGCCTTCACAAATAGGAGGAGCTGATACAAAGGAATACCTTTTAACATTTTCATATTTCATCACAAGTAGGATGAACAGAATAAAATATTGTGTGCTGTTTTTCTCCAGAATTGCACTAAGTAACTTATTAATTGGAGACAATAAAAAAAGGAAAAATAATGACTTAAAAGAACTAAATGTTGCCCAGATATTGAACATAATATAATCTTATCCCAGAGTCCTAAACATGGTTGTTCAACCATGTATGTATTCTGCTGGAGTAGGATTTATTGTTACCTTTTCAAGCACACAGAAATTATCTACATTCTGTGGACTTGTCTTCTGCTTTTATTGATGTCTGAAAACATAGTAGCAGCAGCAAAGTATACTCACACAGTAATCTTCAATGAAATGAAAAGGAAGGAAGAAAATTCAAACAGCAATATTTTGAAATATATTGACTTTCTTCAATAGTTTTCAAACATCAAAGGATTGTGTATTCTGTCTGCAAGTTCATTTTCTGAATAAATTATTATTTGATTCATCTCCCCACGATCTATTTTTAGGCCTTTGGAATACTTTTGAAAGCAAAAGTCTTTTCTTTTTTTCCCCTTTGGTTTGGATCATATGGTTTGGGATCTTACAGCTCTTTCTAGCTGCCTGGCAGATTCTCACACAGTTAGCCTTCCAACAAATTCACTCTTGCTGGAACTTACTTCTTAGGAATTCCTCCGGTGCCCCATTGCACTAGCGAACGTCTGTATATTCTACTGATCAAAGAGTGTCCCTCTTCATCCACTTATCAAATGGTTTATTTTTACATAAAGTGCCTGTTGACACCACAGCTGCATTTTCAAGCAAGGAAAGAGCAGAACTGCTGCTGAAAAGAAAGGATGATGTTAAAATTAAACTGTACATTTTTTGAAGTAGATGTGGGGCCGTATCTGTGCCTTTGTGGGTTGTTGCTGTTTGACAGCCCAGCCAACTACCCTTGTAGTTGTCTTAGAAAGGGAGGAGGTGCCTGATGGCTGCTGGTTTAGCAGTTACTCAACCGCTTTACTGAACCTGAGGGCCCTACTACATACTGCACAATTTCCCTACGTGAGGTTAAATTTAGTGCAAGTGGAAAAAATATACCCCCTTTAACATGCTTTAAAAAGATGTTTACCAGCTTTCACTTGAGACTGCCACAGACTGGAAAACAACCTGCAAATAGCTGTTACAAACCTACATGAATAAAGACTGTAGGCTCTTGAATAAAAAACAAAAACATGAAATTTTCTATTTAATTTGGCTGTGGTCAGATTTGGCTTGCTCTGCAGTATAGTTTTGTGGTATCTACTCTATTTAAATCATTTTTAATCTGCAACCTTTTCATCTTGAACTATTTATTCCACACTCGTTGCTATATTGTGATGGACAGTAGTATTAAAAGCAAAAGCAATTTTCTGTTAACTTCTGGATCTCCGAAGTAGACAAAGCAGAATTCTCAAAATCCTTCTCAAGGATGTGATATAAGCCATGCCAACTGTTGAACTCACCAACCTTCTGTCAAGGCTCTATTCTATCAACATTCCTGTTTCTTCTAAAATCATAAGAAGAGGCTTATAATACAAAATCATTTGCATGGCTTTGTCTTATTTCCATCACTTGTGAGGCACATAGGCATAAAATAGAGTCTAAGACCTTGTTTTCTCTCTTCTTTCAGTAACTTACTATTACTAATCCTTGAGCCAAGGATGTGCCTTCCCGTCCCCAGGTCAGACAAAAACCTTTGTTGTATTTATAGGAATTTCTATTTTCACTTCCCTTTATTTAAAATGGGTTAACAATGCATTCTGGTACAAAAAGATTTTTTTTTTGTGATAATTAAAATTTGAATTTCTTAGGTATTTTTGCTTTTTATTATGCCAAATCCTGTTGCTCTTCAGATAATGCTAGTTAGAAATACAGTGCTGTTTTCCAGCTTTATGCATATGCGACCTGAGTATGAAGTTGGTTGCCTACGTTTTTAACGTCATAGAATCAAAAAGTCGTAGAATGGCTTAGGTTGGAAGAGACCTTAAAGATCACCCAGTTCCAACCCCTTGCCACAGGCAGGCCACCTGCTAGATCAGGCTGCCCCATTGAAAATGGCCTTGAAGTCCTCCACGGATGGGACATAATATTCTCGTAATACTTTAAAGCATCTGATTTCCATGTATCATGTACATCCCTCTCACTGTTGCGTACTTTTGACTTAAGGAAATACCAGCCACCAAAATCTCTGGAGTTTGTTCATACCTTTGCAGGCGATCTATGCTGCCTGAAAACTTATTGCACCAAGCAAACTCTTCCTTGTGATCTTGTTGTCCTTCTATAACCACAATACAATGTGCATAGCAATCAATAACGTTTTGGGAAAAATATGTTGCAAAATAAAGAAATCACAGTTACTTTTGCCACTTAAAACAATCTGAATATTAAAAAAGTGACAATTGTCCATAAAACTTTTTTTTTTTTAAAGGGCTCACCAGAAATAGTTCCACTTTATAAACAGTATACATTAATATGCTATTCATTCTTTCATGTGAAGATCAAAATGTCGCGGTGTATCACCTATTGAGGCAAAATCCTCAATCCTCAATAAATCCTCAATAAACTGTATCCAATTAAGATTCTCTGAGGAGTTGTAGCTGATAATACAACACAGTGATTTCACAGTATAGATATGGCAAATACTGAAGGAGTTATTGTTCTAAAATTCTTGCAATTATTTTATAACCAGCTAATCCAATTTTACCACAGGCTAAAGTTCTGGCATAAGTGGTGAATGCTGATATTTTGAACAGGCAAAAGTAGGTTGACTTAGGAAAAAATATCTGGAAAAAGTGATTTAGGTAGAAAGTAAGCAGCCCCATTTCATACTTCCTAGAATCATCGAACCATAGAATTTCTAACTTCATTTTATATTTTGCTCTCTGCATCTTTCTCAACCCTTCTTCCTAGATCCTGTGGTACAGCACTGGTACAACTGTGTCTCAAACCTCTGCTATGCTTGCAGAAGGTTCCTGCTCACCCCATGGAATGCTGCATGTGAGTCCTCATTGGCTCAAATAATGTAACTTCATTGCAGCAGTTCTTCTTGCAAGAGAGGAAGTAAAGGGCATTGTAGGATGAGTAATATTGAGGATAACTTCTGTGAAATGGGAACAATTTTTATGTATTTCTCTTCACCAGCACTCCTCTCTGTACTGCTGCCTCCTGTTTCATATCTGAGTTTGCAAGAGCACCTGCTGGGGCTCAGAGTGTCTCTCAGAACTGCTCTGTGGTGGGGTACCCCCTGGTGAGGTAACGAGCTCCCCGCTGAAGGCCTACATCCCCAGGGCTAACACAAGGGGAAAAGCCAGAAAGAGATTAAGAGTATGATTTTATCCAGCACAGATTCGCAATTTCTTCTATGGTGGAATTCAGATGTTTTTTGTTTATTCTTCTACATCCATCTATTTTAGAAAAGAGGAGCTGTGTTACTCATTGTAAAGACCATTAGTAGTCTGCTAATAGTAGTCTGACAGAATTTAAGTGTGAAATTCTTTGGTCTGCACAAGTAGCTTAATCTCTCACCTGTCTCATTTATTTTATCTTTGAAATGCTGATGTAACCAAAAAACATCAATGCCAAAATATCACTGTGCTAATTTCAAATCTGAGCAGCTTCACATCTGTTACCATATTCTCTATATCTGGTTGTGACTCTGGATAAAATTCAGGTCAGGAACCTTTCTTTGTGTGTGAAAAACAGCACATATTCTCAAGCCTGCAAGTATTCAGGAATTTGGTTTTCTGACTGACCAGAATGGTGCCTA